CCATGAACATGAAAACCACCAGGAAGAGGAGGACAGCTCAGTGGGTGAAGGGCTTGCTGGGGAGCAGGACTTGTGCACAGATCCCAACACACCCCCAAAAACTGGGTGCGGCTAGTGTCTGTGACCTCAGTGTTGGGGGACGGAGAAAGGCAGATCCTGGGGACTCACTGGCCTGTCGTCCAGTCAAAACTCAAACTCCAGGTTCAGTAAGAGACCTCGTCACAAAAAATAACAGAGAAGTAATTGAGAAAAACATTTGACATTGACCAATCACCTCTATACGCAGGGTCACATGCAAGCCTACGAACACAGCATGCTCATACACACAGTGCATTATCACATGTAAACCTTTTAAATCTTGAAAATGGTTTTAAACTCAGGCTCACTGTGACACCACTCCATCTCTCCTCTGACAGCAAATCTACCCAAGATCCACTTTCAAAGAGGAGTCAATGATTTAACCGCTCCAACAGCTTTAAATGGCTCACAAGTTTATTACCAAATATGGTTGGCTGACTAGTTTACAGTCTGTGCTGCTGAGGTCGGGGCCCTGTGTGCGACCAGTCAACTCTCCTGTGTCCGCTTTCAGGAAACCAAGAGTACTGTTGGAGACTGATGCTCCCTCTCACCCTCCCCTCCACAGGAAAACCAGCGCTCCGCCTCCTCCTCTTACAAAGATGTCTGTGAATCAAAGGGGTCCAAAGATGGAGTCTGTCCACAGCTCCTGAGCTCAGAGCACAGCCTCACCCTATTTCACACAAGGGGACCTATTCCTCCCAGTTTGTGATACAAATACACCAAATCTCTTAAGAGTCCCAGAGGAGCTCTGGCCCTGCCATGAAAAAGGGCCTCCTTGGAGACCAACTGTGTAGTAATAAATTTCTCCACTCATCTATTCCTACACTTGGAGATTGGAGAAAGATTTTCTTACATCAAGTTTTCTGTTAGCCATTAAGCTCTCTGGGTACAATTTTCCACAAAACACGGGGGAAACAACTGAGTGGCATCTCCTGACACCCCGGCTGTCAGTAGATCTGCTTTCCGAGAAGGATGAGCAGGTCACAGAGGACTCTTCCATGGTGCAACTGGAACTGACAAAACCGCCCCAGAGACTGAGACCTACAGGCACAGCACTTGTCTCTGACATGGACAGACTCTACCGAACAAATCGGCAATGGGTGATCGTTGGCACTAACACAGGTTCCTCCTTAGCTGTTCATGCAACACCCAAGCTTCACCCCACGTGACATTAACAGTTAGTGATGCTCACTAACAGCTGACTTCACACTTAAGTGATCTTAAAAACACAAAGTCATTAGGGGCTAGAGAGACGGCTCAGAGGTTAAAAGCACTGGCTGCACTTCCAGGTCCTGAGTTCAATTCCCAGCAACCACATGGTAGCTCACAACCACCTGTAATAAGATGGATGCCCTCTTCTGGTGTGCAGAAGTACATGCAGATAGAGCACTTGTATACATAAAATATATCTTAAAAAGTTTTCTTCTTCCTAACTGGAAAAGACTTTTGATTTACAAAAGGGCATTAAAGGATGTAACATATTTGCCTTTTACTGAAAGCTGGCTGGCCTAAAATATGTATCAGCACCCATACGTGTAATTTTTAGAAGTAGACTACCCCTCCTCAAAAGAGAGAAGCATAAAACATGCACACACAGAAATCGGACATGTAAACCAGAGTCTAACGGGAGTGAACCATTCTTGGTTTAAATGACAGTTTTCCAAACCCCCGAACACACCAAGACATGAAGAGCACCAAAGCACCTCAACATCACGCAGTTCAACCATGGTGCTGAAGGTCCAAGATCAGATTCTGGCACTGGGCTCAAACCTAGGCATACTAAATAGGTGCTGTCACTGACCTTAACACACCCTCAAGTTCCAAAGCTCCTGTTTATCAAGAGTAAAACATTTTAGAGTTAAGAAAAACAAAACCATTTTCAAAAAAAGGTTTCAGCTGAAATAAATACTTGTGGTTTTAAATTAACAAGTGCAGCAGTCTTGATGGTGTATGCCTGTAATCCAAGCAAGCACATGAGAGGCTGAGGTATGGCAACTGCTGCTGCATTTGAGGCCAGCCAGGGCTACAATAGCAAGATCCTATCTCAAAAATCAAAACTGGGGCTGGAGAGATGGCTCAGCAGTTAAGAGCACCGACTGCACTTCCAGAGGTCCTGAGTTCAATTCCCAGCACCCACATGGTAGCTCACAACCATCTGTAATGAGATCTGGCACCCTCTTCTGTATAGATAATAAATAAATAAAAATTTAAAAAAATTCAAAACTGGGAGTGTGTGGGCGGGACAGAAAGGGAATGAGAGAAGGAAAGAACATGGGCAAAAGCAAATCATAAGCAAAGACGAAGTGGGCAGGGGGCAGTAATGTTACTTTAGGGCAGATGGACCTCACCCACCCTCCTGCCTGTACTGAGAAAAGCAAGCCTGTTTTTGGTTGTTGTTTGTTTTTCAAAAGAGGTGTGTGGAGGCCCGTGCCTTTAATCCCAGCACTCAGAAGGCAGAGGCAGGTGGATCTCTGTGAGTTCAAGGCCAGCCTGGGCTACAGAGTGAGTTCCTGGACAGCCAGGGTTGTTACACAGAGAAACAAAAAACAAAAGAGGGTCTTCTCTATGTAGCCCTGGCTGTCCTGGAACTTGCTCTGTAGTCCAGGCTGGCCTCCAACTAAGAGATCCACCTGGCTCTTCCTCCAGGTGTGGGAGTGCTGGGATTAAAGGTGTGCACCACCACTGCCTGGCATAGCCTGCTCTTCTATAGATCCCTTCTGACCACAAGCTTTTAGCAGAAGCAGGTGTGTGGAAACAAGCTCATCAGGACTCCCACCCTGATGCTGGTGCATGAACGACTGAGTTTTCAACTGCCTTTTGATAAAAACACGTTTTACAGATTTCAACAGGCTAAGCAGACACTGACAGGATCATTTATTTCATTCCTTTTGTAAAAGCGTAACTTCTTTTTTAAATCATTTATTTTTAAAGGTATATTCATTATTATTTTATGTGTATGAGTTATTTTGCCTACATGCATGCCTGTGCACCACACCCATGCAGTGTCTGCAGAGCCTAAAAGGTGGCATTGGATCCCCTGGAACTGAAGTTACAACGAGTTGTTAGCCGCCATGTGGATACTGGGCTTTGAACCCATCCTCTGGAAGAGCAGCCAATGCACCTAACTGCTGACCCATCTCTCCAGCCCCAGGATTTTTCTTAATGTAGGTCCATAAAATATCAAGAAGGGAAAATGTTATATTTTGGAAAAGTCTATGCTCAAAAGCTGGAAGAAATATGCTAAGAAGGCAACAGGAGCTGGGAAATCCTTGTCATGACTAAAACTTTAGCAAGAGGTTAAAAATAAACTTTACAGTATATGCACAAGGAGGTGACCCAGAGTAACTTCCTGTAGACTCTGAGAAGCTGAAGAATTAGCTCGACAGAGAAGATAAGATTCTCATCATAACGGGTCAGGACGAAGCACCGGGGGCACTGTGAGGAACCAGTGGACGCTCCTGGCACCGAGTGCCTTTGCCTGGTTCTTTCTGGCATTTCTGCTTGACTCCTTCCCCTATCGCTCCGATTCTCAAGCTTTCCGCTGGCAGGCCACTCTGTTCCCCCTCAGGCTCTGGGTAGGAGCTGGAGTATGTGTGCATTTTGTGTCCTTCAATTAAGAAATCTGCTGAACGCACTAGCAATGCGAGAACTGGGTTATCTTAGCTAGACTTCAGTGGTTAACATCTTGCCTGTCTTGTTAGAATTATATTCATTTCCCTATTAATGAACTGGTTTGGAAGGACTGTGTATCTATTAATTAACTGCTCGTGATACATAAAAATAAATTATTTTCTGAAAAGTCCCCTTGAACTGGCTAAAAGGTTAGAGATGATGAGATCTACTCTAGGCTAAAGTTTAAAGATCTTTAAAAAAAAGCAAATGTAAGTAAATAAATGTAAGTAAATAAATACCCAAAAGATAAAGTGGGCTTGGGGAAGGGCCAGGCAACAGCAAAGGCAAGTGAGCACACAGTGCTCTAAATAACAGAAGATGGCGTTTCAAACTTCGGCAGAATTTCAAAATGAGAGGTGGCCTGCAGAGACTTTCTACTAGAAAGAGCAAGACACCACATGAGACGTTCACTGCTGGACCAGAAGCTCGGCTTACTTGAAAAGCTGTGTGCAGAGACTCCGCACTTCAAGACAAACCAGGAGTATGACAGGAGGAACGAAGCCTTCCAATCTGGTGTGAGACTGAAGACGGCAAAACAGTGCAGATTACAAGTTTATGAGCATTAATCCTTGCTATTAACACACACACATGCTAACAGGGAATAAGTACTGACCTCAACTGAAGAACAGCCACTCAGATAGAAACCCGTATTGGCAGACATGGATGAACATTTCACACCCAACTATTAAAATAAAGCATCTGGATTTAGGTCTTTTGCCATTTTCATTTTCAATACAAGTAGCTTAGGGTATTCTTAATCTAAGAGAATTTTTGTTTCTATTTCTAATGCTAACAAATATAGAAAATATTCATGACCAGCTTCTTCAGAAACCAGAGAGCCGCAATTCTGGACAGAGACTCTGGGCAAGTGGAAGAGCTTTACCACCTCACTCACTGTTAGGGTTCACTCTCCAGGCGTGTCTTTGCTCACTGAGGAGCAGCGTACGGCACTACACAGTCACACTGGTGGGCACCCACACTGCTACACAGGAGCATCCTTGCTTCTCAGTCTTAGAAGACCTCGGTCAGCACCCTATCAAAGCACACAGCCATGCTGGGTATTTAAAGGAAACCTGTAGTAAAAATGTACTTCCTTTGGAAACATATTCCAAGAACAGCTACAACTCTGGTCACAGGAAGGAGGTTCCAAGAACTCCCAGGCAGAAGATCTCAACCTTTTTCTAATAGGGATCTTCTTCCAACAACTTGAAAACTGGTATTTCTCCCTCAGTTTCCTTATGAATCTTAAATCTTTCCCAAAACATGAGAGGCACTTTTATTAAGTGTAGCATCTACTACAATTCTAATCACAAGGTAACATTTGCTAAACAAAGTAATAACACTAGCTTTTAACAGGCATTATTTACAAGGATTTTTCTTTTAATATAAAAAAGTATAACTACAGCAGTCCAATGTACAAATACAAAAAAAAAGTTATCATACTAAAAAAATGTACCATAATACTGTACATACAAAAACTGTTCAACAGAATGATTTAAATATATCTGTTCTTCTCTGGATCTGGAAGACACAATGTAAAGTTCTGCAACTGTATTATTGCTGAGAACATGTGCCTGGGAACACTGTGTTTCCCTTTCCCCACTCATCCCAGCTCCACCTTCAGAGTCCCCTGAGTTTGGATCATGAGCCAACAGCATCCCTGAAGATAACCAGAGCCAAATGTTTACTCAATGGAAGTCATTATTCAGCGAGCCGCTGCTCACCATAAACTATGAAAACCCAAGTTTTAAGCCCAACCAAGATTAAATCCAGACGGAGGTCTTCCCATCCCCTGATTTGCTGCTAACACTGCTTTTGTTGGAGCCAGATTTGGACCCCACTTTGGCCTTCTTTTCCCGAGGACCATGGGGGTTGTTTTGGTGATGGTAGGCCTGGATGGCTAGGTCCAGGCGTTCCTGAGCCGTCCTGATCTCCCGCTGCAGAGTCTCCAGGTCAGCCGGGAGCTGCTCCTCGTGGCTGCCGTACTGCTGCTCCTGGGCGATATTGGCTTTGTTTTGCTTGTAGGCAATCTTAGCATTGGACAACTCGGTGTACTGGATCTGATCTGGTTTGACAGCAATGTTATAGCCAGGGGGAGCAGATGGTGTATTCCAAGTGAAAGGATAATTATAAGCACCCGGATCGTCAAGCTCCCTCCTTTTACTGTTCAGTGAGTCTCGAATGGTCCCAAACCCTAAATGGAGCATCTCCCAAATGTTAAGCAATAGGCAGAGGCCTGTAACACCATACATTATCAGAAGGAAGATGGTCTTTTCAGTGGGTCTAGAAATAAAGCAGTCTATCTTATGAGGACAAGGAAGCCTGCTGCACACATAAAATGGGTGGACTTGAAAACCATACAGGAAATACTGTCCTATTAGAAAGCCCACTTCAAACACAGTCCTGGCCAGTAGCTGCAACACGTAGATCTTCATGAGCCCATCCTCCCGAATTCGTCTCCGGCCATCATGCTTCGGTTTTGGTTGGCTCTGCTCTTTATTTTCTTTCTCACTTTCCAGCTCCATCTCTGGATACATCATAGGATCCTCTTCATGGTCCTCTTCCGTTTCTTCCAGAGCCCGGTGCTGTTTCCAACGCATGGCATAGGGTTTGCTCCGAGCTGCCTTCTTGTCTGCCTCGCCATGCTCCATTTTGGCAATCTTATGAATGGCATATCCCAGGTACATCACAGAGGGAGTTGCGACCAGGATGATCTGGAACACCCAGAAGCGCACGTGGGAGAGCGGTGCAAAGGCATCATAGCAGACGTTCTCACAGCCCGGCTGCTCTGTGTTGCACACAAATTTGCTTTGCTCGTCATAGTAGATGGACTCTCCTCCTACAGCAGTCAGGACAATTCGGAAGACAATCAGCACGGTGAGCCAGATCTTCCCTACAAACGTGGAATGGTTGTGGATCTCCTCTAGCAGGCGAGTCAGGAAGCTCCAACTCATGGTGATGGAATTGGTTTGCCCTGGTATGTGGAAAAGTACCAAGCAGAGGTGGGGGGGAAAAATCAACAAATGCTAAAAGTAGCTTTCTATTTTTGGTGCCCAACAAATAATCAAACCATAGCAATGTGAATTTTAATTCCTAGTATTTCTAGGGACTTTGTAACCCTGAAACGTAACTCACTTCAGGACTCACAGTAGAACAAACGTTGGACGATACTCACATCTCGCTCTAACAGCTTTAGGAAAGATAGCACACCGTACTCATGTCTAGACACAGAAGGTCTTGTGTGCTTTCCTAGTTTATCCCTCAGATGCAGCACATTGTATTCTATATATATATTACTATGTTATGGGACATCTAGACACTGTGCACTACACATAACAAAATAATGCACCGGGGTAGCTTTCTGGTCCAGTCACAGTTTACCACTGAGAACATAAAATGGGATGGATTCCACTGTGAAGAGGCAGTTTACTAGAAAGCTTAAGTTTTAGACCAGCTAACAAAATGTTGAAGTAATTAAAAAAGCCAAGAGTAGTGACACACATCTTTAATCCCAACACTTGAGAGGCAGAGGCAAGCAGATCTCTGTGAGTTCCAGGCCAGCCAGAGATATAGAGTGAGACCCTGTCTCAAAATTTTTTCACAAGTAATTAAGGAACGACAGCTGTCAATAACTGGCAATGATGAGCACTAATAGAGAGAGGAACCAGGGAGTAGTCCCTACTAGGCCACACAGCAGAGCAAACCCTGGTTTTATTTTTAAAAGCCCACAATGGAAGCTCTTAGAACAAAAAAAAAATTTAATGATGGATATAAAAAGAAATGTATGCTAAACTGATCCACGAGAGCAGCAAATCCAACTGGTAGGCAAATGCACTAAAAATTAGCATATTTTTGTTTTAGTTTTTTAAGACAAAGTCTCACTATGAAGCTCTGGCTGTCCTGGAAGTCGCTATGTAGATCAGGCTAGCCTCAAACTCACAGAGATCTACCTCCTGAGTGTTGGGATTAAAGATATCCACCACCATGCCCAGGTCTTATTTTTGATTTTTTGTTTTTGTTTTTCAGAGAGTCAAATGTTACCGAGGCTGACCTTTGAACTCAAGCTATTCCCACCTCAGTCTTGGAATGCTGGGATTACAGGTGTCTGTCACCATACCCATCTTTAAAAACAGCATGTTAGAGGATAATTTTATTCCAAGATCCTCAAATCTATGCCTAGAATCCGAGTCACACGTTAAACTCCTAACACAACATTTGACACAGAGTCCACCTACATTTTCAACTCTTCCCCTCCCACCGCACTGCAGAGATTTCGGTAAATCACCACCACCAAGTAACTCCAAACTTACCTGTTATCCAGAACTTGTTACCCAAAACCTTCTTTCAGAAACAGTATTTTGTTTGTTACTTTCCCAAAGTCTCTCTGGAAGGGAAAAAGAAAAGAGCAGGTCATCAGCTTCCTCCCACAGAAAACAATGAATCACTAACGTGTCATTTTCGGGAAGAAACAAAGTTTTCTGTGTGCTCCGGGGGTCACTCAGAATGAGATGGAAATAGGCTTGACTCTCCTCCCAAAATAAGTGACGGAGAAATTAACAGTGACCTCAAAGTTTTTAGCTCATCAGGCTCTATGAAAACATGATAGGGGGCTGGAGAGATGACTCAGCAGTTAAAAGCCCTGGCTACTCTTTCTGAGACCTGGGTTCAACTCTCAGCACCCACATGGCAGCTCACAACTGTCTGCAACTCCAGTTTCAGAGGAGCCAATGTCCATTTTTGGCCTCTGCAGGCACCAGAAGTGTACATAGTACACATACATACGTGCAGGCAAAGTAAATAAAATTAATTAAAAAATAAGAAAACCTAATAGGGAAATGAATAATTTGTGAAAATTCAAAATCGCTGGGCATGGTGGAGTATTTAATTGCATTTGGAAGAGGGAGGCAAAGACAGGCAGATCTCTTAGAATTCCAGGCCAGCCGGGGTTAAAAGTGAGACAGCGGCTAAAACAAACAAACAAACACACTCGGGACACTGAAGAAGTTTGACAACTACAGCAAAGAGCAGAAGCATCAGCACTGCAAGGTTAAAGCAGGCTACCAACAGCCCTGGCTCTGCCGCAGCCAACACTTCTCACTAGGATTTGAGCAGCCAAGTAGGAGCAAGCTGTTCAGCTGAAACACCCAACAGCTGGCTCAGTCACTGAACACCAGTCTCCACAGGAGGTGATTTACAGATCCAATGGCTCACAAAGTCGGAGAAAGAAAACACCTGCACTGTGATTAAAAACAAAATAAAGTGAGCTTGAAAAACAAAACAAATGTGAATTGGAGGCCAGAAGGCTTTCCATAGCCAGTTCTAGGCTAGGTGGCTACACAGTGAGACTGTCTCAAGACAACAAAACAAACCAATGTAGGAGGATTCAGTATCCATTATCAAGCTGTGTAACTCTGAAAAGCTAGGGTCAAACATCATCCATATGGCACCAACTTCCTTCATTACTATCATTTTATTAACATTATAAATTTACAACAACTGCTGAGACTGGGCCTAGTGGCCCATAACCTTTAATCTCAGCACTCAGGGCAGAGCCTGTTTTTATGCAGTGTAGCCATGACTGCAAAGTGCGACGCTGTCTCAAAAGCAAAAATCCCGAGGGGGAACAGGGGTTAGTATGTAAAAAGAAAGAAAAACTTTTTTAATAAAAAATTATATAAAAATGC